GACCTTTAAGGTTAAGTTTTTGTTTTTATCTGATTCAATAATCTGATTATTAAAGGTCTGTTAAAGTTCTTCACAGACCTAAACTGATATTTTGTTGAATGTGTGAGAATAAGATTCAACAGCATTGCACAGGTCTCAGGGTCATGGTTTTCTGTACATAGTGATGGATGGATGGATGGATGGATGGATGGATGGATGGATGGATGGATGGATGGATGGATGGATGGATGGATGGATGGATGGATGGATTGATTTTAGGACACAAGTGACAGATAAGTTGTATTCTATCATCTGTTGCCACTTTCTGATGCCCCTCTGGACAACTTTCCATATTTAATCCAGTTCAGAAGCTGACACTGACTATACCTGTATAAAAGTGTGTCTATTTTCATCTTTAATATGAGTTTACATGGATAAATATTTTATTTACTTCATCTATGCCTAACTCTGACATTCACCCTAACCCTAACCTTTATGAGTTAAATAGTAAACCTTACCATAACCTAAAGTGAATTCAAATCATACAACCAAACTAACTCCCTAACATCAAAAATGAGGGTCCACCACGTTTGGACCCATAAGGCCTGCTGATCCTCACAGAGTTAATAAATATACTAAAATGATCCTAAACAGGCAACATAAACATGTGCAAACCTGTTTGCATGTGAGTTTTTGTGCTGTATGGTTTACATATTTTATGATAGATACTTTCAGCCATCACTGAGGGAGACCACTTACAGGATGAAACAACAGTACTTAATAAAAAACAACATATTACCCACTGTTTTATCTCTGCTGCAAGATTACATCTCGGCAGGACTACTGTAATGCACTTTATTTTGCTGGTTAGCTAGTCCTCCCTCGCATGTCTACAGCTGGTACAAAATGCAGCCACTTGCCTTCTAATTGGAGTATGTAAGAGGGAGCACATAATTCCCATTGTGGCCACGCTCCACTGGCTGCCTGTTCATTTTAGAGTTCATTTTGAAATTCTTTTCTTTAATTCTTTAACAAGCTTGGCCCCTCCGTACCATTTTGAGCATCTTCACCCCTGTATTCCCACTCCATGCCTCAGCACAGCTGATCTGCTCCTCCTGGAGGTACAGAGGTCCATAGAGAAGCTCAGAGGAGACAGAGCTTTTTCACTTCCTGCTCCAAAATTGTTGAATGCTCCCTCTCCTGATCAGACAATCCTCTTCACTGTCTATTTCTAAACCTCTTCTTAAAACCTATTTTATTCTCTGGCTTTTAACACAGCACACAGTTTTTTTGTTTGTTTGTTTTTTTTAGTTAATTTATTTCATTATATTAATTTTATTCCTTTAATCTTCATTGTTGTTTTTATACATTTTGTACGTTACCTGATAACTACCTCCCTTTGCTGTGGCTGTTTTAAAGGGCTTTATAAATCAAGTTGGGCTGAGTTGAATTGAATACCCTTCTTCTGAGGTATGTATACTCAACAAATAATTAGGATCATAAATCATTTCTATTTATTTTAGAGCAGGGGTCTCTAACCCGGATCTTCAAGTTGTGCCGTCCATTGAGTTTTAGATGCATTCCTGCTCCAACACAACTGAATAAAATGAATGACTCGTTTCCAGGCCTTTGCCTGACCTGATGGGATGCTGAAGAGGTAAACCAGTCATTTTATTTAATTTGGGAGCTTTAAAGTTTTGCTTTGCTTTAACACTGTTGTGTATAAGGGGAACACTGCAGACGACTATTTCATTTTCATATATTTGAAAACGCAGATTTAGGCTTGATGCACCTTGAAAAACTTTTCCAGGTAGTTTTTCTTTTTCAAAATGAACCCTAGAATATAACCTTAGGGAACCCTGTTAGCACTGTCTGCTCTGTCTGTTTTATGTATATATGTATATATATATATATATATATATATATATAT